CACACACACACACACACACACACACACACACACACACACACAAGCATTAAATGGTTTAGTGTGAGAACTTCAGAAATATGAAAGGAGAAAACTGGAGAAGTAAACAGAAGATGGTAGCAGGGGAGCTCATCTAACTCAGCAGCAGACACTGTGAAAAAGTGTGAGCTAAAGAAAAACAGTGATGGATGTCAAACCTTTGCTCTGAAAGATGAGAGCCGTTATGTATGCTAATCGTTGCTACGGGAGACCAACATATAAAGAATCTTTTTTTTTTTTTTTCATTTGTCAGAATGGGAAGTCCTGGAGTCAAACATGGCAGAAAGAAAAAACGATCATCTTTTGAAGAGCAGAAACAAAGTGGTGGGTGCTGTGATCAATGTGACAGGTTGACACACTGCAGCACGAGAAAGTAGATTAACTCACACTGACAGTTATTTCCATCTTCTTAACTCCAGGATAATCAGAGGGCATTTTGAATATCAAATTAGACAAGAGCAGATTCTGAGTAACGATGAGCTGCACATCAAGGCCACCTCAACAGCACACACACTTTCACAAACTGAATTTTCTCTTCAAATAGATTCAGTTGATATGTTATGCAGCCCAAATATAGAAGCATGTGCGTATGTGCTAGATAAAGACTTTCCCTCATCTGTCACACAAACAATAATAACTTTAAGTACACTGAACTGTGTGTTATATTTTCCAGAGTTTGTCTTTCAATTATGAGGAACAAAGCAGGAGATAGTCCGTAAAGAATCATTTACAACAAGAGGAAAATGTCCAGCACACCCAGGTGAGGGTCAGCGACAGAGTCGAGCATGTAGGAGGCAGGACATGATGTTTAAACTCTGCTGTGGAAATCATATTTTTTTATTTACACCTAATTCACAGTGGCATCGGCCTTTATCGTCAAAACATCTCACATCTCGCCCGCCCGAGGTGACGTCTGTGTCCTCTACATACATGACGACTGTTTTCCAAATGTCTAGAGTTCAGTGCATGTCTGAATCTATGAAGCTCGGATTTTATTTTACTTATTTCCCACTCAAGTTAAACAAACTGGACTGAGGAGATGAAATGGAGGCAGTGAGAGAAGAAAGGGATGATGTGTTGTGTGCAGCATGGGACGGCAGATACATTATGAACCATTAAGTAACTAAGTGCCTTGATTGAAGGTTTTCTTGAGTAATTGTTGATTAATTCAATGCTGTTTCCATTAAGCCGATCCTTGTTTACTTTCACACAAACTTAATAAAATATAATGTTCCAAAGCAAATTTAATTACCACATATTTTACATGAATGCATTACATTTGTGGGGTGGACTTGCCTGATGTTGATGCCCTGCTTGTAGATCTTACAGGCGTCTGAAGGCAGGATTCTGGAGAGCAAAGGCACTGCAACATGAAAAGATTCAGTGTCAAACATCTTGGAGGTGCCTCAATTTAGAAACTTCACTCAATAATGACGACGACCGCTTCAAAGCTTCAGCAGCATATAGAACCATGTGACGTGTAGTTCTGTGGCTAAATATTTAATAACTCACAGCTTTCACCAGAGTTTAAGTCACTGAAGCAAGACGCTTCATTTTCATTTGCTTTATGGGGAAGTTTAAAAGTCTATTAAAGTTCTGTGAATGGCAGCATTGAAAAAAAACAAAATCAACCCAGCAGAGCACAACATGTTAGTCTCAACAGGCCTGAAGGGCACCAAGCCAGAAATCCCTCAAGTGATGTGAGCACTGATCCGTGAGACGTGTTGGTTTAAACCAGATTCTTCTCATTCACTAAATATTCAGACCCTGTCACCTATTTTACACAATTTGTTATTTTGCAGCCTCAAACTAAAACCATATACATTTTTTAAATCAATCTGCAGTCAATGCACCTAATGAAAAAAAATATTGGAGAGGGATAACTGACAGTTCTTTGAGATGTTTTTACACCTTGGTTGGAGTCCAACCATTTAAACGATCGGACATTATTTGGAAAGGCACACACTTGTTTATGTGAAGTCTTACAGCAGAGGGTGCCTGCAGAGTTCATACAGAGGGATCTCACACCATGTTAAACACAGATCTGGGAAAAGCTACAAAAACACTTCTGCTGCATTGAAGAGCAGAACAATGGCCTCCATAACTCTTAAATGGAAGAAGTTTGGATCGACCAGGACTCTTCACAGAGATGGCTACACAGCAAAAGTGAGCAATCAGGGAAAAACGGCCTTGTACCAGAGGTGACCAAGAACCTGATGGTCAATCCATCACTGCAAAACTCAGTGAAAGACACTTGAAAGGACCTAAAGGAATCTCTAAACTATAATAACATCAAGATTGAACTGTTTGGTCTCTATGAGGCTCCACTCACCATCTCCTGACCATATAATCCCAACAGTGAAACATGGTGGTGGCATCAAGCCATGGGGGTGTTTTTCAGGGTCAGGGGACTGGAGAGTTCATCAGGATTGAGGGAAAGGTGCAGAACAAAGTACAGAGATATCCTTAATGAAAACCTGGTCCTGAGTGTTCAGGACCTCTGACTGGTCCAAAGGTTCATCATCCAACTGGACAATGACCCTGGACACAGTCAAACACAGGCTTTGGGACAAATCTGTACATTTCCTTAAGTGCTCTAACCCGAGACCTGACATGAACCTAATTAAACATCTCTAGAGACACATGAAAATGTCCCCAACCATCCTCACTGAGCTTTAGTAAATCTGCAGAGAAGAATGGCAGAAAATCTCCCAATCCAGGTGAGCAGAGCTTGTCGTTTCATATAAGCAGGTTCAGGACTATAATCGCTGCCAAAGGTGCTTTGTCTGAATACTTGAATTAGTGTCAACGTGATACTTCTGTTTTTCCTTTTGAAGAGTCGAGTGATGAAGGAGAAACATAACACAATGTGAAAACAGTAAATCTGTTGTTCTGTAACCTACAAATATAATCTCAATGTCTGTCTCAACAGCAAAGCTTTTACTTTCTTACAAAATAATTCCATTCCATCCGTTATGCAGCCAGTGAATATTTAGTTACTATCATGCGTCCATTACATAATCTTGCCCGGCTTGTCAATAATTCACAAAGACACAGCGGGTACACAGAATTCAACCCTGGTTTAGACCAGACTTCTGCTGACTAAGCAAGTGCTCCTACACCAGCAACACACACATCCACATGAGAGGATGGTATGTCAGCTCATTCCCAGCAGGAGGAGTAACTTGACTCCAGCAGTGGACCTCATGGCACAAGGTGAACACTATGACCTCATCATATTTTACTGACTATAGTGTGTCGCTCTTCTGAGTTCCGGACTGTACCCTAACTGAGGACATGTGGATACTTGCCAGAATAAATTGTGTTTGTGAAACTAACTTTTAACATAAATATCATGGGGCAGCAGAAGGTGGAACTTGACTCACCCCAACTTTGGAAGTCCCAGTGAAGCTCCAAGTAAAAGTCACCAAGCTGCAAATGAAGAGAGAGAATAACTCGTTAACCTATGAGTAGAAACACAAAGCTATTTACAACAAAATCGCTGTATGCTTAAAGACAAATTAAGGTCTTATTTTCAGCTGCGTATTAATCCAGTTTTTCTGCCCAAGTGAGTTTTGACAGAGGCAGAAGAGGGCGTAAGAGGAGTCACTGATATTAATCAGTGCTCATGTTCATGGTAATAAGAACATGTTGCCCAGGGCAACAGTGAGGCTAACTGATGTGTTTTTAACATCTCTGAACAACAGTGGAGGTTTGCCAAGGTGCTCAGTAGAATGGAATAACTAATGATCGTCTTTGTGTGTCTGCAACGAAGCAGGACAATGAGAAACTAGACTCATTTTACAAAAAGAAATCTTGCAGAACCAAAATCAAAAATGCTGTAACAAAACTTTTCAGTTAGACAGACCTGAGTAAACAGATTCTATGTCATACATAACAAATCATGCATGACTGACACGGTCGATATAACCTCTGATGTATGAGGATGGGATGTACTGATCTCTTCACTGCTGGTCTCAATCTATCCCTCACTGATGATGTCAGGCCGACAGAGGACCGTCACTCCCCAGACCTTTATTATCTCAGAGCTATGCCGCAAATTATGAAAAATAATCTCCGCCTCATCATCGTCCGGGAAGGTTCACATGATGCCACAGCGAACACTTTCAATGTCAAGCAACTTTTAAAAACGTCAAAATCTGAGGTGGAAAAACCATCAAAACAGACCTGTGATACAACACGGTAAAAACACATGGTTTGAGATAGTTTGTCCATCTGCTGACCTCCTCCCTGACCCTCCTGTGGGGGTGTTGTTACAGCACAGATGACCGGAAAACTGCAATCACCAGATGATTAACCTGATGTTAGGCAGCTACACTAATACAAAAGGGATCCGTATGTTGAAGCTCAACGACGTAGATACAGCATGTCCGCCTGTACATGACTAAATGTTTACTGTGTCTGTGTGGGGCCTGTGTGACATCATGTCAGACAGAGACAACAAATCCAGAGGGATCATTGTGGCTCTGATTGTCATGTCTGTGTGTGGTTACATTACAGTGTATGTGTGCATATGATGTCACACAAAAGCACATTTAGCCTCAACAACCACATCTCTCTACAAAAACTGTTATTAAAATGTGCTGTTTGTGTGAATTACTTTTTCTTTTTTCTCTTTGTCCCTACTGACACACGTAAAGCGTCCTTGGGTCTCCTGAACGGCTCTATATAATTTCAAGATATTATTATTATTGTGTTTTGGTCATCGTGAACAGAAATGACTTGGGGGTCATTGAACTTCTAGGCATTGGTGCATCAATAGCCACAAACTTTTGTGTACTTGACATTTTACATCTTGGGGAAAAATATGCAAAAGGGATATTTTTCTTCATATCATGCAAGATACAAGTGAACTAAAATTGTTCAGTCACCTTTGGCTTTGAAAGGAGGACTGAAGTAAAAGATATATAGAAGTGTAATCATTTTAAGGCTGTCACTAATCTCCATTGTGTTTCCTCTGTTGTTCTGTGTTTCACGACACGTGACATCAAACATGACTCACCAGGGTCTTATTCATAACAAAAAGAAGGGCAAACTCCTCTACTAGCAATCGGAGTGAAGTGCCTTTTTTGGGAGGTTTAACTGCGAATTTTGGTATAAAAGAGGTACAAGAGGCAGAACGGAGATGTAAAACGATTCAGACATCAAATCATCAGGGGCAGCATCATCAGAGAGAACAGATCAGACAAATAAGAGCTAACAAACCTCTTTCAAGGCTTTCAGCAGCTTGGGCCTCTTGTCCTCCACACTCTCTCTGGACTGTTGCTTCAGCTTCCTCAGCAGCGCCGTGACTGAAGGACACAGACAAACAAAAAGACAAACACAGATAAAGAAATGCACAAGTGAGTCCAAACACAACAAGAAACAGGAAGCTCCCTGCTGTGTGACTGAAGAGCGTCTGGAGGGAAAAATAAGTGGAGAAAAGTGTTAGTTCCCATAACAGCTGACTGTTTATAACCTTTTGTAGTTTTGAATCCGATCCCATGAAATAACTCACTCCAAGAAGATGTAGTCACTACATCCAAAAATGTATTTCTCTACCATGTTGTTGTTGTTATGCCAAGTGGAAATGATCCTTCTCTACGTGGCAGGGAAGTCAGACTCTCCCTCAAATCTTGATTAACTGGCAAAGAAGACACATTTTAATTTTTCATAAAACATAGAGCCTTTCAAAACTTTGAAGAGAGATGCACTCTTACATTACAGAGTTTTAATGTTAAAATGATGGACATTCTGGTGCATGAACAGTTAAAATGTGACTGAATTGAATGTTATATACAATATAATACAAAACAATTTTCACAGTGGCAACAGTAATGCAGCATTGATGTAGGACTGTATACAGAAGTGGTTCAGATTTTGTCACATTTCAGCAACATGCTATAAGAGAGATGATAAATAGTCTTGTGTGTATAAATACTTAACTCGCTGCCATTATATTACCAACAGCATCTTTATGCAAATCCTGCTGACAGTGAAACACGCAAAAGGCAAAGAACAGCACTTTTAAATAAATGTGGCTTATGGTTCAGGGCTATGTTGTCTTTCTGCAGTCACATGAGGCATTTCAAGCAGCGTCCAACCAATCCCTGCCCACCACCTGCAGGGATTAAACCATTCCAGGAAGTTCAAAGGGAATGAGCGTGGCAGACATGGCGCTGCCTGCTAATGAGCGGCCCCTATAACTCCTTAATGACCTGGGAGACACACTCCAAGCAGCCTCTTAACTGTGATGGGCAACATTAACAAGTCCTTTAGCCCATTGGCTGCAGGAGCGCTGCTTATGAATGTAAAAGTAAACAGGGTTAAGAAGAAACACATTTATACACACCTAAATATCAAGCATTTATGAATGTTATTTGCTGGATATAAGTGGAATGAGAGCATCAGCAGCTCATCGACATTACTGTGGTGTTTTTATGGAGCCAGGAGGGGATAAATTACCACTTGTAAAATTCATGGAAACAGTGAGGAAAAAAGAAAATATTTGGCTTGTGACACTCAGACCGCCCTCCGTTTTAATAGCATGGAAAGCAACAGTAGACATATGGAATCATCAGTGGCCTAACTAGCCCCTGTGCTCCTTTATGTCCACGTGGTCAATCACCACACGCAAACATGTTTTTCATATGGTGCGACTGGTGCTCCACACGAGGCAGCGTGCAGGGGGCAGAGGTAAACCTAGGCCAAATAAAAACACAATGCACACACACACCACACAAAAGCTGATACACATGATGACACATGTGCCAGTTGACACAGACACTAGAACAGGACGAGGGGTGTCTTGTAGCCCGGCTGTCTAATGAATGCAGACAAGCCCTGAATGGGGCTCCTCCTGATCCTCCCCCGCCTCTCAGCGGGATAAGGAAAGGAGTAAAATCTTGCCATCTGCCCACAGCCGACCAATCCAGCACAGGCCAAGAAACCAATCCTGACTGCTTCAACGCTAAACCAAACTGACTCTCCACGCTGGCACTAATTCACTCTGATACTGATTAGGACACTTTCCTGGAATTAATAAGGTGAGTGATCTCAGTAATTTCACTCCTCACATTAATGAAGAGAGGCAGAGTCAGGACCCCGTTTCTCTTTAAATCACCACAAACTGCTTCTATTTAACAATTAGCTCTTGGATGTGAGTGGACAATAATCCAATAATCTGAGAACAGTCAATGTTGACACAGGTACGCTTTGGAGTCACTGTGGGGAACAGAAAAGCAGTTGAGCTGCTGCAAACAGGCCTGAATGAATGTAGTTTCAAACTTACTGAGGAACAGTCCATTCTTTTTACAAGATATCTGAAAAGACTCATGACAGCCATGCAGCATGGGGACTTCTTAAAGTCTGATTAAAAACTTACAAGCTGCTTTCAAGGAGTCTGTAAATGTAGTGAAGAGGGAAAGAGAATTTAGTTCGGCTTTAGGCTTGTAAAGGAACTGATGTCAGTAAAAAAGTATTTTATCACGGAATACAATCCGTTTTAATATTTTATAATATTTAATAGTATTTTGACAGATGTGATATTGCATTTAAATGGCCTTTTTTCAACTAGCTATAAAACCTGCAGAATTTAATTGGAGGACTAATACTACAGCTTTTCAGGACTCAAGCTCAAGCAACTAACATACACTATGTTTCAAATATATTTGACCAAGTTTGATGATGCCATCGGATCGCCATCATTTCTATCAACTTCTGGTGACGGCTGCTCTTTCGTTACATTTTATATCTTTGAGTTAATGTTTATTTGTGTTCTATTTTTATGTAAAATCTATATTACTGTGTTTAATCTTAATTTCTGTGTGTCAATGGAGGACTAGAAAACTAAACTGTTTTACTGTTCATATGACAATAAAGACTCTTGAACCTCTTGAGTGTAAACAAGATCAGTTAGCAGTGAGAAGTTCCAACAGAATCAAAGAAAAATGTGGTTAAAAAAATGAGACTGTGCCTGAATAACAGTGATTTTACTGGTCACAAGGGGATGATCACTTGATCTTGATTATTTTTAAAATAATCCGATGTTCCAAATATTTTAAGAACATTCAAAAGCAACTTTAAATATGGATTGAATCAGACAAACAAAAAACCCCTAACCCTCTTTTCCAGGCGTATAACTTCTGTCTAGCTGCTGAAATTCATTTAATCTCACACAAACATATTTTTGGCAGCAAACTCAAATCTGGTTCTTTATTCCGCAAAGACCACTGCAGTCTGTCACTCATGGAAAAGCTGAAAAAGCACCAACACCTACTGAAGCAGCTCTTTAAACAAGCTCCTGAAGGTGACATGCAGCCGAGTGAGCAGAGTGGGGATAGAAATAGCTCTTTCTGAACCACACACATGATAAAATCTATTTCTGAGCCATATTTTACCACCTTGTTCAATTTGAAATCATCAAGTGACAAATGCGTCAAATGGCTGCAAATGTGGGTAGATATCAGCAAAAGACTGCCACAAAAATTCAGCAAATTATTGCTTACAAGAGGATGTTTGCCTGGTAATCGGACCGTCTATATGGAAGGTTGTTGAAGTGTTCATTGAGTCTAGGACATGACCCTGTTTGTTAAACAAAACTTCTGGGTGTCATTGAATGTCTGATAGGCTGGGCTCATCCTCAGGAGGACTCAACATGCACTGAATACAGAAAAGGTCAAGTTTCCTTCAACATCTTTCACCTTGAATGTCATCAGCCAGGTAAAATCCTATATATAGAAGGCAAGTGTGATACATTCAGTGGATCAGCATTACACTGATCCACTGATCGGTGCAAGTACAGTGTTGTTTGCCTGGCCTGTACATTAGTGATGCAATAAATACCTCCAGGATGATTCAAGAGATCAGCAAACTGACCCACTGCACCTGTCGGCCAGCAGGTCGAGTCTGTAATGTCCTACGTCTGATCCCCTCAGACACAGGCCCAGCCAACCAGACACTTACCTGCAAACTCGCAGCGAACCAAACACATTTTCTGACAGATCACTACACTACAACACAAAGCTATGTGCGACCAAGCCACTTCACATGCTCAGACAATGGAGACTGCTGAAAAAAACAGCATAATAATGACATTTGAAATGACTTCAAGGTATTTTTTATTGATACTGAACTAGAAGAGCTGTCAACTCTTTCTATCTTTCACACTACAGCTACAGAGCAAAACTGAATAAACCACATGGAAAGGTATATGAGGTTGCTTCCTGTCAATTTTGATTATAAACTTGTTTGACTCTTTCTGTGAAAACACCCAGCAAAGCCAAGTGAAAACATTGAGACGTTATCTATTCAAAATTCTCATAATTAACATATTAGGAACTTCAAGTAGATAACGAACAAAATGTATCTTTCAAACATTGCCAAGTTCATTATTCAATAAACCTGTAGAGCCTGCGTACAAACAGTGGTCTGGTGCTTCCCTCTTGCATGATAGATCTACGTGTCAGTTTCTTGTACAAGGAGATAATTACCATTAACAGTGGATACATAAACTCGAAACTTTAACTAAAATATTTTAATATTCCGAACCACAGTTCAACCCAGACTTTGTGGGCTGTGGGGAGGGAATGGGCGAGAAAAGGGCTTGAGCTTAATCAGCCTATGAGGAGAGAGAGAGAGAGAGAAACATCCAATGAATTGCCTTTTATCGAAGCACAAAAGCCAGAGAGCCCTTGAGGAATGTCCCCTCTCTCTGAGGGACAAAGGAGGCACGGCCTCACTGGAAAGCAGAATGTGCCGAGCTGTTTGTTAGGTTGCATCTGTTGATTGGAACTTTTCTCTCCCACTTCAATGTTTTCACACAGAAACCCCAACTGAAGCTGCACCAAAGCCTCGTTTGTTACAGTGAATGAGTTGGCTGACTGACACTTTTAAAGGTGATCAGTATTTAGCAGTAGTGGTGGGGGAGTTTCAAAAGCCCTGTGTCAGTGTGTAACCTAGCAGAGACGGCCTGTCAATCACAAATACTTACTCATCTGTCGGTCTCCGTAGCTGATGGCCTCTGCAAGGGGGCTCCATCCCTGTGCGTTCTTCACCTTCACTGGTGCATTGTGGGCCAGCAGCAGGTGGGCACACTCTGTAAGAGGTCCAAACAGACAGGAAGATTATTACGAAACACTCTACATGGATGATAGGGACTTTACAGGTGCTACTGTCACAAAGGTTGGAAAAACCTGTTTAAAACAGGCAACACGTGACACAACATCCAAAGTGGCTTTTTACTCTGGCCAACAATTTAAGCCCTGGCAGGTGCTTTCTGTTCAGAGAAGAGGAACTGGAAACTGGAGGTTAAATCAAGCAAAGCCAGGTGATGAGACCTGAATGATAAATTTAGCCCCAATAAAAGATAAACTGGTTTTATAAAACAGAACAAAAGAGAAGTCTGCATTTAAACATCTGAAGCTGTAAGAGATGACTATAAGGTATCAGAAATTTATTTCCTTTTAACATGAGAGACAAAAAACATGGAGAAAGAAGTGGAAAGAAAATGAGGAGTGCTATTTAGCTAATGTCCTGATGCATCTGCAAAGCACACAATGTCAAGCCAAAGATGAAGGATAATAACATTTGCTTTAAAACACACAGAGGACAAATGACCATTTCCTCAGGAAATTAATAAGATGGAGCGGCTTCACACCCCTTGTCAGGACATTTGATGTTGCTATGGTGACTTGCACATGTAATTCATACTAAGATACTCCCATGCAGTTCAAACGAACAATAAACCCCTGGATACTAATTTTCAACTCCATGTCAACACTGTCTCCAGGTCTAATTTTCTCTTCAGCTTGACTTAAAGCAAGAAAAAACAGAACTAGAATGACACTCAGCAGAGCACATACCTCCGCCAGGAATAGTCTTCTCTTAAACTCAACAAACTCAGAATCAGCTCTCTAAATGTACCTGATTTTTTTTGCCTGCTGTAAACATGTATGATACAGAGCAGAGATACTTCCTGTGGCATTGCTGATTTAAAAATAATCCTGGTTTTATACAGGGACAGATTGTGTGTAGGATTGAGCTGACAGCTGACCCATAAACCAAAGAGCCATATGGGGCCAACAGGGCTCAGCATCCTACTTTAGATTTCATACCGCTGTAAAACGCTGAAAAGATTCTCACATGGAAAACGTCACACTGTACTGAATTACCCTCGGAGCTGTGCGGGAAAACAGCCAGAGAGACTCATCCCTTTTTTCTGTGGAACTAAATGCAGGGCTCTGGGCATCGTGTCAACAAACTACAGCGTGGCCAAAAAAAAAGAGAAGCCTGTTGTTCTGGCTCAGCTGTCAGTTTTTTTCATGACAGAACTCATTATATTGTTGGCGTCTGTTGCGGCTCTGCCTAACCCCTGGGCAGGAGCAGTCGCAGCCCTGTGAGCAGCAAATTGCCCAAATGCAAAAGCTAACTGCGAACAGTCGGCAGTTGAGTGAGTAAGTGGGGCTGTTTGACCGGCCCAACGCTGATCTCTTCGTCTGACAACACCCTCTTAATATACCTGGTTACTGCCCTCGGGTTCAGACTTGTTCCTCTGCTACACACCAACATCAACACTACAGAGCCAACCTGGTGTCCACAGGCAGAGAGAGCAAATCTTGCCCTTTGAAAATCAAGCGCAACACAGAGTCTAAACTACCACATCACCTCTCTGATCTACATACTAAGCATGCTTTATTCATGAGAGCGAGGCCAGCGGCTCATACATTCTTTATGATGGATAGGAATGCATGTAGAACCTCCTCCTAATTAAACATTATCCTCACAACAAGGAGGAGTGTGGTTGTCCCAGAGGTGTGGTTACACAGGGATAGAAAGGCAGGTTTTCGACAGCACCCAAAGTATTTCAGTTATGTTCAAGGAACAGCCTTGCCTTAATGTGCAGCTCACTTCTAGGTGGAGAAAATGAAAATGAACAAAGACAGGCCAGTTGGAGGTAATTGTGTTCACACAAGAGGAGCGGCTGAAGTTCAAAGACTTGGATCGTGACTCGTCTAAATTCCTTTTCTCATTATATTTTTGCCCAATTCTCTGTGACATGATCTCCATGTTAAGTGCTATAGATCGTCCAAAGGCTGACCACCACCAAAAGATTGATTAATTTGGATAATATTGCATCATTTCACAGTTTTTAATCCTGTGTGCCTGTTTAAATTGTTTATTTCCTCCACCCAGGAGGTTATTGCCGCGTTCCAATAAATCTTGGAAGTCGGAATTTCAACTCGGAACGTTGGAGGAACCTCACCACCCCTGACTTACAAATCCAAGACGGCCCCTTTGTATATCAACGGTACTGTAATCTGTAGTTTTTACTGTTTAATGGCCCCTTCTGTCATTAAATGTGTTGAACAAGTTGTACTGACCAATTATTGTCTGTGGACATTTTACTACAGTGTTCGAATGTGTGAAATACAGCATAATACGTTATTATGAACTGTTTTTGTTAACAATAGGTAGCTGTTTAACGTAAATATAGTTTCTGTGCAACTAGAACGCTATCAGCTCGGATTATTCAGGTGTGACGTCATTCACGAGGGCCTGGAACACGGGACAAGTTTTCACACCTGACTACGTGTATTTATTACATAAAAATACCTGGACAAATTAAAACTGAACTTGGTGGAAGGATTAGGTACGAATCCTGAACGAACTCATGAAATACTGCTGTGGATCCAGGAATTGTTTTACCTTTTTTATACTTTCTTTTGCATTGTGAGATAGGGCGTGTTTTTTTGACATTTTCAAAAATGTCTCAGAAAATAATTAATGGATCTTGATGAAAAAAAATCTTCCATGTTCGGGGGAATGATATTTATGTGGGTGTGCAATAAAATGCAGATCCAAATCCGGATGCAACGATTTTAAATGCGGTTTTATAAGGGGTCTGTTGGGCCTTGGCTGAGGTATACACTCTAATGAGTGCCATTCTAGTTTATCTCTTGTCCCTCAGTAGTTCTATATTCAAATTCCAGTTTCAGCTGTTGGATGACTCATCCTGTACCTATGGGCATTGTTTCCTTATTTTATCACTGATAAAAATGGCTCGAACTCTTAACTTCTTCCCTGTGACTTAAAATTCCTCCAATTACCTATGCTGTCCCATTCATTAGTCAAATCCAGTCGTAGGTAGAACTCCTTGACAACAGAGAGACAGAGAGCAGGCTCTTGTCACCACTTTCCACATTGAGCTGGTTGTTACCGTCAACTCTGGCGAGGGGGCGTGACGCACTTTCTCCACCATTGGCTACTGTACACGCCAATCAATAGCTGTGAGAATTTCCTCTGCAGCTTTGTGTTTTACTGCACGCACACAAATGTGAGGAAATCAAAACATCACTCTGAAAACTTCATTCAATAAAGAAGCTGTGCTGGCACCAGAAAGAGTGGATATAACTGCAGAGTGCATCACAAAGACGTTTGCATCAGGAAAGAAAAAAAGTAAACCTCAGCGTTAATGCATTAGTCCACTCCATGCCCAGGCTCAGGGAGGAAGCAGCTGATAACAGAAAACGATGCCGAGAAAATACAGGCGGCAAAGTGAACAAGCGCTCGCCTTCTGACGTAAGGCTCCCGTTCTCTCGGGCCTTTGACCTACATATCACCCTGCTAAATCCAATGATTAAGTAATATAATGGCAACATTTAGCAGATATACTTAACATAAGCGAACAGTCAGTCCATGTGTCCTGAGCTACAGATGGGCTCCAGCTCCCCCCACAACCCTTAAAGGATAAGCGGTGTAGATAATGAATGGATGGACGTGCAATAGCTGTGTACACTGAGAGAGCTACTAGTTTATAGTTTCCCACTGATCAGTAATCAATCCTGGTGAGATGTACATTTTATACAGTTATAAGGCATTTGTACATGTTTTTTTTTCCGTGTAGGATTATAGTGTGAACAACTTCAGCTCATTCATTAGAATCAGACCGGGAGGTGCTGCATGGATACATTAGCACCCATCCTGTAATTCATTAGCCATGGTTTGCTGTCAGAGTCGATAGGATACACAGTTGTGAAAGTATTGATATAAGGAAGTCTCCTGGTGGGTTTCTGTGTTAATTGTGTGTGCAGCAGCTGCTTGAGTCACATGCAGCTCTGAGAGCGAGGCAGAGCAGGATGGAGAAACTAAGTGCTAATCTAATGCTGCACTGTGTGCACCGGCTACACATGGGACACTCGTCAAGAAGCTCTGTGGGCTGTTAAAGCCCCAACCAACACCACTCATTCTCATCCAGGCTGAGTGTGTCTATAAAATAGCTTTTTTGCTCACTTCTTCTCCATCGATCACACACAGCGACCGAATCAAACAGGAGTTGGATGGTTTCCATCTCTGAGGCAAAACGGGAAACACTTAAACATTTCTTGTTTCTGTTGCTTCTAAACCTCACACCGTTGATAATATGTTTTCTCCACACAACAATGATGTTAGTGTCCTGTGCATAATGACTCTAATCTTCCCTCTTGACTTAATGGGCAGATTTTTTTTAGTGATGACCTGACTTTGTTTTCTCGTATCACTGAAACCAATTTAAGATAGCGCATAATGTAATTGTATGCTTGTTACCATGGGAACAGATATCACAGCTATATGATGAAAAGAAAACTTCTTTCTCTGTCGTTTGATGGGACATGACAGGAAATGGGCTTTTCTGTTTACACAATGACATCATCCTTAAAGAGTGACCGTATTAAAAAAAGTAGTGTTTCATATCCAGAAAAAGCATTAGAGCCCTATTACAAATTGTGAGTCAGATGGTGACTAGAAGAAGATCAATGAAATGGAAAAAATACATCATCAATTAATATGTTTCTATCTCTTCCTTTCCTAATTCAATTATTGTTTTCCTGATTTTCTGGACCTTAAACAATCAGTCGATGAGCAGAAAATTAACCTGCAACTATTTAGGTTATCAAGTGTTTCATGCATATAGCAACACTCCTTTGTGTGGATTGGGGTTGTTTTCATCTGCAGAACTGCAAACATGGACTACATTTTGCTCTGTTTTTAGCTCAGAGTGACGTCTTCTTCTAAATGGGATTTTTCACCTGTAGAAGTGTTAAGCTCAGAAATAGAGTGGCAGTAAACAAGAATCACTTTCATTACTTGCCGGGTACACACACACACACACACAGACCCAAACAAAAAGAGAGCCTTGTCCTCTCCATCCCAGCAGGACGGCCACACCCAGACTATGATCTCATGCTGAAGACTTCACCATGTCTGGCCTGAGCCTCCCTGGAGAACAGAGGCAGCAGCAGGGGGGAGATAGGCAACCTCATTAGCACGATCAATTCCATAACATAGCATCTACCACTACACTGGGGCACTCCACTGTCTGAATCACCGATTGGCAGTAGCATGGCCTTCGCTCTGGCGACAGGTATTGAACTTTGCGAATGTGAAATCGATGGAAACGCGTGCTCTGATGGGTTCCAATGACAAGAACTAAACAAATGGGGGCTGTGCGGCACAAGTCACCCTGTGCTTGAACTGCTCACCGACAGCCAGCTACAAATGGGAGGGGGAAATAAATTTTTCAACAGCATGTTGTGAGGTTTCCTCATGAAATTAAACGTGAGCATCGGCTCACAAAGGGGGCAGGCATTAATGTTTCATGCACATGCTTTCAGTCCAGCCGGTGCAATTCAGCAGAAAACTAATTCACATCGAGATTCTTTTTAAAAGCCTTGATACATTATATACTTCAAAACAAACAAAGCTCTGTATGATACAAGTCAATATCTGAGTGATTTGCTGCCCTCTGTTTCACAACCTAATAAAAAGTAAATTAAATAACACCACTAAATGAAAATGACATCTCTTATCTCAGTTAATTATCCTCTGCACTAGCTTCAAATCATTAGACCTTAAGCCAGTAGAAGATCAGTCTGAAGAGAATTTAGCCACAGAGAAGATCTTATTTCTTGCAGTGGCATCATTGTCTAATCCTCACTGATTAAATATGTTCTCATATCCTCTGTGAATGTAATAAATAGAGAGAAGACATTGCTCAATCCAGATTTTTTGTCCTTGAACAAAAGCTCTTTCATTCATGCATGAGCATCTTCTCTTCTGGGATTTGTGTGGTGTTGATGATCTGTGACAAACGTTGGATGAGTCTCAGCTGGACAAATGCACACACAAAGACAGAAGTAAAATTGGAACACGCAAATAAACTGCAACACAAACAAAAGACATGCATCCTGGCAGAGGGAGATTCATTTAGAAAACCACAGAGACAGACACAGAGAGACAGACAAAACTAGAGCATGTGGAGGTGAATCTTTAAATTTTCTCACCTTTGTTGCCCATCATGACAGCGAGGTGCAGCGGTGTGTTTCCTGCGGAAGAAATCAAAACACAGAATTTGTCTGCGGTGTCCGATAAGCTCAGTAAGAGACTTCAGCACTTTGCAGCTGTAAATGTCACATTTACGGTGAATCAGAGGTTTAAATTAGGAGGCATTTTCGACTAAGCACCAAAATGATATGTTAAGTGAAACCTGATTGTGTTATTTTGACCATGTCAAGCAATATTCACAACAATGCATCCCCAGGCAGGATGTGGCCTATTATCAGACACAAGGTAAACACTGAACTGTGAGGTCTGCACACACATTCAGGGAAAATAACATTTTCCTTAGGTGGAAGAGGTACAAGTTTTCTTCCCAGGATGTGAACTGTGCCTCATAAGCACTGGAGAATCCCTCAAGAGGAAGACAAAGTGCCTGCTCAGCTACTCCAGGGCCCCCCCTCCACAACATTAAAAAGAGGGCCCGCCTGGTAGTGGCCCTAGTGTGGTTGAAAACAGAAGCTGGAGATCAGCTGGAGTCCAACTGGATGTTGTGATAAACTGCACAGAGGAACAACAGAGGCCATATCTGGGCACACAAAGGTGCTGCAGGGCTGCAGTGTCAGAAACACCTCTACTGTGTCCTGACATTTTATATCTACCAGCAGCACTGAAAGCATCACTTCACCCAGGGGGGGAAAAAAATTCTTTTCATTTTCTCATTTCTACAACCAGACCAATTCCATGGAGAAAATGTAATTTACTCACAGCTCTAAAAAAAAATAGATTTCAACTGAGCAACAATGTGCTTTTCTTTTCAAAACCAGCTGGTTTCAATAGACAACCCAGATGGATATATAACGAAGAACTTGCTGTCAATAGTTATTGTTTGGTTAATGACTATTTCTTCTTTTGGGTAAAGAGGCTTTGGAGGCAAGAGGCAAACTCTGCAACTGTGGTCAAGGGTTTTTCTCTTGAAGCTTCACACGTCTGTTCCTTCTGAAGTCTAACTGTGTTTTTTTTCTCCAAACACCAAAAATAACACAGTGAGAGAAAGATGTAGTTATTTCCATTCTGATTAGTCAATTAATGGACTGCACCAATCATTGGTTTTGACAGCAAATTAGTCTTTTTCAAGCATAAACACCAAAACTCATTGGTTTTAGCTTCTCAAATGTGAGGACATGTTGCTTTTCACCAGTTACATCAGTGAATGTGAAATATCTATTAGTTGACTGGACCTAACACACAACTTTAATTCACCGTTGATTATTCTCTGTGATTTTATAAACAATTTTACAAGCACTAATTAAAAATGTGAATAGAATCATTAATGATAATTGGTATTTGCAACCGTATTATAACTCAAAACATTGGAGAATAATATCCGCATTATTTTCATGGTTTGATTCTGATACTGGAACAGAAAGTGAGAAAATATGTTTTTATGATGATGTGGGTGAATCAGTAACGACCTATGTTAGTGGTTTACAGCCATTCATTGTACATAAATAACAAAGCATTACTTCTTTGTCTTTATACCACTGGCTGTTAAAGCTGATTTATTTCAGTAGCACGGTGCATCACTTCAGCTTTAGCCTCAGTGTTTCTGCACCAGAGGCTGAAGTAATGTGTGAGTAAGAACAACATGCAGCCACTGAGCCACACCAGTCCACAGCGAGGCAAGCAAAGCCTGCTGAAAACTGCAGCTTCAAGATCCTCAACAACAACAGAGGCAAATATGTCGCAGGTCATTGTCAGAGCTTAGATTTGAAGACAGACCAGATTCCAGCACTGACACAAGTGCAGGCCACTGTCTGTCTCCACATACTCACGTGTGAACCGAAACAAAACAGTGTTGTTGTTTCAACAGTTCAGGGAGTGTCTCTGTGGAAATTGGGCCATTATCAGAGCAGACTTTGGCCTGTAGAAGACCTGCTGTCAGTCATGGGACAATGCAGCAATATATCATTTCGTTTATGTTTTCATCATTTTGAGTCATTTTTTAAAGATAATGAGGATTCTGAATGGTTTAACTGACAGAGTCAGACATCTGAAAACATCAGAGCTTTGGAGAAGATTGATAGAAATCACTATTTTCTGACATATTATCAATAAAATTGGATAATTGAGGACATATCTGACAGACGATAGTTAGCTGCAGCCCGGTTCTGAAGAAGCAGGAGTTTCTCTGCTGGTCACAGGAAGCACAGATGAAAACCAGGCCTTGACAGGGAGCAGCCTCGTTTACTTTCAGCGCTGCTGGACACTTAATGGCCTGTAGGCAACAAACTAAGCTTCACTGCACCTTGACACAGGAACATCGTGATGGAGGCTTTTCTCCAGTGTGACCAGGAACAGGTTCACTCACCGTGCACATCTTTCTGCGCGATGTTCTGCGTCCGGATGAGCGAGGACAGGCGGCGGACATCTCCTTTAAACACGCACTCGTGCACCGGGAAGTCTTGTCCGGTTCGGATGATGGGGTTCTTGTTGTTGTCATCGATGACATCTGATGTTGACAGCGTGTTGGCGTTAATCTGCTGGTTCTGCTGCTGCTGCTGCTGCGTGGACGACGACTTGATCAACTTGTGATTGCTGAAGATTTTACTCGCTCGGCTCTTGCTGCTGGTCTTGGAGGCGGCGAAGGTCCCGGTGGCAGCCTCCTCGTCCGGCTCCAGGAGGTCCTCGTCCTTGCTCGGCCTGTGGTCCTTGCGCAGGGAGCGGATCTTCTCCCCGGTCATTTTCCAAACGCTAACGGAGCAGCGGGAGTCTCGTCACGGACGATGACCCTCCGGACAAACCGATGCGATCCGCCAGCTGGAAGTGTTCACGCACGCGCCGGGAGCCGCACCACATGAAAACACTTTCCCGCGGACACTGGAGAGGGTGAAGAAGAAGAGGAAATGGAGACGAACGGGAAGAAGCTTCCGTTTAGCGCCGGTTTCTAATGAAAACAAACAGTCCGCTCCCCTCGTATCTTCTCCACAGCGTCGCTGCTCTACGTCAGCGGCTCCAGTGGACGAGGACATTCAGCTTCCGCCTCGTAGTATCGCGAGAGTTCCGGAGAGGTTACTAACGGTCACATGACTGTACATGGCTCATGCCATAGACTGTAAATATATAAAGTTAAAATCTCTCCGTTCTGTAGTATTCTATATATGCTCCTATACTCACTGAGGATCTCCTGTTTCAAAGTCGCTTTAAAACCAGGATCCTGATCCCTAATCAATACTCATTAATCATGAAGAGCAGCTAATGTAGGCTGCTATAATGTAAAAGAGAGAAATATGATGCACATTCGCTCATAACTATAGTTTATTGTTGGTTCATTGATTGATTGAAAATAACATATCAATAATTATTTTAATACTGTTCTGATGTTATTACTTTTAAATCTGCTTTTATAAAGTTTTTTAAATCTAGCTTTTGGTTATGGATGAATCGTCTCTCATTTTTAATACAGCTTTAGCCTCAGTGTTTCTGCACCAGAGGCTGAAGTAATGTGTGAGTAAACAAAACGTGCTGCCACTGAGCCACACCAGTCCACAGCGAGGCAAGAAAAGCCTGCTGAAAACTGCAGCTTCAAAATCCACAACAACAACAGAGGCAAATATGTCTCCAGATAACTCACGTGTGAATCGGAACAAGAAAATGTCGTCGTTTCAACAGTTCATGTAGTGTCTCTGTGGAAATTGGGCCATTATCTGAGCAGACTTTGCCCTGTAGATGACCCTGCTGTCAGTTATGCGAAACATAATCAGCAACTATTTTGAGTCATATTTTTTGAAGATAATGAGGATTCTGAATGGTTTAACTGACAGCATCAGACATCTGAAAACATCACAGCTTTGGAGAAGATTGATAGAAATCACTATTTTCTGACATATTATCAATAAAATTGGATAATTGAGGACATATCTGACAGACAATAGTTAGCTGCAGCCCGGTTCTGAAGAAGCAGGAGTTTCTCTGCTGGTCACAGGAAGCACAGATGAAAACCATCGGTCACTTTTCTGTTTGCTGACCAGAAGAAACTGAATTAATAAAGTTGCACAGTGGATGAAATAAGCAGTGATTCAGGCCTTGACAGGGAGCAGCCTCGTTTACTTTCAGCGCTGCTGGACACTTAATGGCCTGTAGGCTACAAACTAAGCTTCACTGCACCTTGACACAGGAGCATCATGATAGAGGCTTTTCTCCAGTGTTATAAGGAACAGGTTCACTCACAGTGCACATCTTTCTGCGCGATGTTCTGCGTCCGGATGAGCGAGGACAGGCGGCGGCAAATTTTAAAAATGAATACATTTTATCTCTCTATCCAGAGCACGACCAATATTCAAAATTGCCTGGTATGAGCCATATTTTTATGTTTGCTGATGTAAGAACTCTCAGAGAAAACAATGCAGGGCAGATTTATGTTTACATGTTGCTTTAAGAAAAGTTGTATTCATTGTGTTTTCTTATATTTACAGCTATGTATTAAAAAGTGTGGTTAGACTGTAAATAATCAAGCCTCAATTACATGTCTTTGTCTTAAGGGTTTGATAACAACATCTTGGGAATAATGAGACACTCTCTGCAGGAATCAACCCTGTGGTGCAAGGTTATAAGTTCAGGCAGACTTATTACAGTAAGTGTTGTGGTGTTATCACTGACTCACTATGGAGCACTTCTCCCCCTATGGCTCAGAAATGGAAACAACAGCCACACTTCTGTCTGTGTGTGTGCGTGTGTCTGTATGTGTGTGTGTGTGTGTGTGGCACAAGCAACAGAAAAATGGCCATAAATGAAATGTAACATTTCACAACAACAGCTGTGATGGTTGGGAAACATCATGAGCATTACAGTTGAATGTGAGGAGGACCTCATAGGGGGGCCAGGGGGGGACCAGTTGCTGGGGCCCTGTTGATCTCCACTGTACAGGGCCTCTGGTGTTTCATGATTTCCACCCAGCAACCACAAAGCCAATCAGTAGAAATGATCAGCGATACCATTATAAATTGATGAATTTGTGACAGTGAAATCCTGTGAAAATGTGAAAAACGAACTAGTAGCAGCCGGAGGTGCCCTCCCTGACTCAAACAACAGGAAGTGTTGCATCAGTAATCCAAACACACACGCACACACACACCCAATTCAAACACACACGCACACACACACAATTCAAACACACACACACGCACACACACACGCACACATAATTCAAACACACAAAAGAGCAGACCCCACCAAGAACGTACATAACGTGCTGAGTCACGTGGCTTTTACGCCCCTTCCGACGCGCCAACCAGCGCCGGGCGCCCCGTGTTGATGGCCGCTGATTGGCCGCGGCGGAGGAGCGCAGCGCTCTGTTAAATGGTTTCTCAGTTAGCGGCTCAGCTGTAAAATCCTCCCGGGCCCCTTTGGTTCACAGAAGCCATGGATCCCCAGCAGAAGACCGAGGAGCGGGGCGACGTGTTCGCCGGTTTCTGCTCCACGTTCAAATCGTTCGCCACCGAGGCCATTCACGTGGGCCAGGAGCCGGAGCAGTGGAAGTCGATGGCCGTGGTGCCGCCGATCTCTCTCTCCACCACCTTCAAGCAGCACGGGCCGGGGAACCACGCCGTAAGTAGCCGCAGCTCAGGTTACCCAGGAGGGTGGAGGGGACCTGGGTCTTTTTGAAACACCCAGACGTGTCGGGAAGAACATGTAATAAACATGGTGTTAAAGCTAAAGGCGCCATCATTACATCACCATAATATCCGCTGTCTTTATCAACAATCGAGACAAATCAAAGCGATCAGAATCAAAGTCCTATAATATGAAATGTTATATTTATAAACTATAAATTGATGTGCCTCTGTTTGTTACTAATTCATTATCATGTATTACATTATCAGTATTAACGCGTCATTGCATACGTAGTAAATTGTACAGTATATACAATGTGGCACGTGGGTTCAATGGTTCCAAATCTAGGAACCTCCATAATAAAAATACAGATCTATTCTGCTTCATACATTTGTATTTTAATTTTTGTGAAATGTTGGATTATGTGAGCCTCAAACTGAATTCATATAAAACCACGTGAGAAAGTTCAGTGGGGGAAGTGAGACCGTGAACAGCTTCTGCTCATCTGAAGCATGACAAAGCATTCTCGCAAGAGGTTTGAGTTGTATTCTACAACCTGATTCTTTACAACAATTTTAATACATACACATTTTAAATGTAAAAATAGAAAACTTAGATTAGATCTCCTGTACAGTAAAGGAAATAATACTCAACTATGGTACAAGTATGTCTAAATACAATACTTCATACTTCAAGTATTCCGTGTTAGTTAGTTAGTCACATCATTTAACTATATAAAATATTTAATTACCACCACCCTGGGTTTTCATTAAATACTTTCATGAATCGACCGTGTGGCCTGCAGGCTATAACCATCCTGTGTCTCTAAATTTCAGTTTGCACAATGAGTGTGAGTAAAGTTCTCTTGAACAACTGCTATTTGCCTCTTGTCAATGATTATACACATCACAAGCCTGGTATAGTGCCATCGTAATGGCGCCAGCAGTAGAATGGTCAATAACCTAAAACAAGTTAATGAGAGTTGTCTATATAAGTTTTCACACCAAAAAAAAAAAAAAACCCCAATGCTTATGTTTATCCCCACTACACCACCACCTTTTAAAGCACTAACTTAAGGGTTGTTGTTTGTTAAACGTTCAAACCAGAATTAACTTGTCAAACTAGAACAGTGATGTTAAGCTTATCTGTTTTTTTACTACTGTGTGGTTCCAGCTGGCCTCGTTCACTCAGACTACAAACTACAACAACCATGTGTTCAAGGCCGCTCAGACTCCATTTATTGCCGTAGGCAGCAGCCACCAGGAATGAGGAGACTTGTTTGAGTGAATACATGTGGTGGAGCAGGACAACACTTTCTGCTCATAAAATTAAAAACTGTTTAACATGGGTCATCTTGTCCATAGTATAAATCTTCTGTATTTTACTCACTTTTCTTGTATATACTGTGCAAAGCTGTAGACAACACAAACTCTAACTTTAAGCGGTATTTGCTGTATTAATTGAATACCTTTCTTAGTCTTTCTTTTACCAGTGTGCTCATATAACAACTGGAGCTGTTTCCCAGTGAGGAGGTAATGACTGGTTGGGGTTGTCCGTACTCACAATAAACTGTTATTTTAAACACACAATCAATTGACGCGGTTTCTTACGTCACACTCTGGTTTGTTGTTGATGGTTCTCACAGTTCAGTGCCCAAGACGGATAATAAAACAAAATATACAATTGTATTGCTGTTTGTGGTAGTGGCAAGTCATGACCGATAAAGATGGGTTGAGATAAACACTCATGACTGTCATGCACCTTGGTTTTTAAAGGTGATAAAGAATTCATGAAGCGTTAAGGCATGTTAGGATTTTATCACACTGGTGTTGTGGACACCTGTTGTCTGTTTACAATATATTATTATATTATAATGTTTGTTTTGGTTACTAAAATGTTGTATTAATGTTCTCATGCAGGGGTTTGAGTACAGCCGCAGTGGAAATCCTACAAGGAACTGTCTTGAGAAGGCCGTGGCAGCTCTGGATGGAGCAAAGTACAGTAAGTAGTTATTCATGCTAAATTGTATTCCACAGGCAGGACATGCATAGGGCGGAGTAAGAAAACATTCTGTGAGCACAGTGAGGAGGTGTAACACATAATACACACATGTAACACATTAATCTACCTCAGGTTCGTAAAATGTTGCTTCTCATTCTCTGCTCATAAAGAGTTTTAAACCACAACCTTCGCTCAGAAGCAAGAACAAATGTTTAAAATAACAATGTGACATTTATCATGATAATTAACCATATTAACTTTTTTATATAATTTTTGGCCATATCACCCAGCCCTATCTTATAAATGTATTGTTTTGGTAAACTAGCAGTGCTTAATGAAACACATGCAAAGTGCACCCAAGCATTTCAGTGTGAAGATACAAAATGACGTTCTGTCTTTTTCCCTGCAGGCCTTGCTCTCGCCTCAGGGCTTGCTGCCACAGTGACCATCACCCACATGCTGAAATCAGGGGACGGGATCGTCTGCATGGATGATGTGTACGGAGGTGAGTCACCTCTTTGAGGTGTGGGCAGAACACAAACATATGGCTACTAGATGTTTTCTTAAACCATCAGATACTCACTGTTTGCAGGATGCTACTACTACAACTAAAATATCAGGTATACTTCCCTTTGTACAAGAGAGTGGCGTACATTCACTCAGACCACTTTTACACCAAGTGTACGAAGGTTATTTAAAAATGGGAAAAATGCTAAAACAGCGATTGTCTCCTTTCCATCACCAGTAGAGGAGTTTGTTTCTGTTTTTCCCCCTAGTGCATCATGTTCTATGTAATGAACACCTGGAAACTGAGGCGCTCTCACGTCTCTTTACAAGACTGTAGAGCTGCTTTAGGAATTGCACTACTCCTACTCCAGCCAACCCCCCAGTAAAAATACTGGAAAACCTGTGAATGAGCCCATGGTAGATACTGCGGAGGATTCACTATGGGTGAGGGGGCGTGTTGATGATGATTCTAACATGCGACAGAAGCAAAACTGAAAACCCCCACAAAAAACAAATATGTCACCATGAAAAAGCGATGCCATACATGTAGAAGACATTGACAAAGATGTCAACAAGAAGATGTCGTGCTGTAAAATGTAAAAAGTGTATACGTTACACCCTATCTCTGCCCGCTGCACCACCCCTCACCTTTTCAGAGATTTCTGTGTTGCTTTGAACGCGACTGAGTTTCACTTTGTCTACTTCAAGGAACAAATCGTTACTTCCAAAGAATCGCCACAGAAGTGGGTCTGGAGGTGTCGTTTGCTGATTGTACAAAACCAGAGCTGCTGAAGGTGGCACTGAAGGCCAACACAAAAGTAAGTCTGAACTTTCTACAGTATATTGTTTGTTGTTCATGTGGATTTTTATAAAAGTAGTAAATTCACCACTTACTTTATTGAAGATATAATATAAAACAAGTATATATATGTAGGTGTCTTGTCCACCCTCCAAAATGTTTGTGACAATGTTGAAACCCAGAGTAATCCCCAATTTTATTCAAGGTAACAGGTCAGGCTTTTTTCGGCGCCTTTTAATCGCAAAGTATTCGCTTTAACTGTGGCTGTGCTCGTCTGTGCTGTAACTAACGATATATGATAAAACTCACTGCTAGCCAGTTCACCAGTCGGCTGTTTTATCCTCCACTGTTTGTATTGGTCACTCTTAAGGTATTATGATTATTCTCTGTTTGCTGCGTAATATGAATAAAACTTTAATACATGACCTCATCCCTGAACATTATTTGCATATTTCAGTGGCAGTGATGGTGATGACAACAACTCCCATGATCCCATGCTGCTTCACAACATCATCAAACTAAGTCTTTTGTTATTGTTTCGATTGAGAGACCCCTAGAGGCCAAGTTACATATTGTACATTTAAATCATAAATAACAAACCCTCAAAATATATTCAGATCGTTTTACTATTAAGTTGTAAAACAGGGTGTGTGTCTCCTCACTGGTGTGTGGGATAATGGTTATATGTCTGCATGTTAAATGCTCTGATGGAGCTGTAGTGACCCTCCTGCTCATGCAGCCGGAGAGAAATGAATCCCTCTCCTCTCTGGTCTGCAGCTGGTGTGGATCGAGACGCCTACCAACCCCACGATGAAGGTCGTCGACATCAAGGCCTGCGCCGACTTGATCCACGATCACAACAAAGACATTGTGGTGGTTGTGGACAACACCTTCATGTCCGCCTACTTCCAGGTGAGAGTGACAGATGTGCTCTTCATGCCCTTTTGATTTTCTAAAAGCTCTTCAATCATTTCCTGCAATCACATTCCAGCTCATGTGGAAACACATGGCTGAATGATTAACTCAGATGTTTGTCCTGTTCACTCACAGCGCCCCTTGGCTTTGGGAGCTGATATTTGTATGTATTCAGCCACCAAATATATGAACGGTAGGTTGTGTACATTTTCCCCATTTTTCTTACTTAACATTGTTAAGATTTGACCCATATACACAGAAAAACAACCACACACACAAACAAGACATGTTTTGCTCCATTGTCTCTCAGACTTCTCTCTTTGTATTCCTCTCCTGATTTCTCAGGTCACAGTGATGTGGTGATGGGTCTGGTTTCAACAAACCGGGATGATTTGAACGAGCGCCTGAGGTTTCTGCAGAACGGTGAGTTGTAATTCAGCAAATACAGCTACCTACGCTGTCTGCAAAACACAAGCTATTCATCAGGTCATGGCAGTGACATAATAAGATGATTGACAGAAAAGTAATCACAGAATGTCTTGATAGTTGATTCATGGTTTTCATATGTTTGCTGACATCACATTCATCAGACTTGTGAGTCATTTATGAAGTTTAGGTATTTTCTATTTGACTGATAATGTGTTGTTCTTCAGCACTGGGTTGTGTTCCCTCTCCATTTGACTGCTTCTTGTGTAACCGCGGACTTAAGACGCTACACCTACGGATGGAGCGGCACTTCAAGAATGCCATGGCCGCTGCTAAGTTTCTCGAGGCTGATCCCAGGGTGGAGCGCGTCATCTTCCCAGGTAATCACATGTCACTTTCAAAATAAAACCTGTATAACCAAAAAAAAAGAGAAGCCAAAGCGATTCAATCGCCCCCTGGTGGTTGGGTGTATAAGGCTGTATAAGTCACAAACCTTGTGTCCTATGTTAGCAGATGGGAAATGGACCAAATTGAAAAGATAGTCAAGTAAATGGTACTTTTTAACCACACTGATCCAAGTAACCTCATCTTGGTAAGTTTGGTTTTAGTTAGTATCTGATGCTAAAAAACACTGTGATTGACAGCTGACACTGAAGTCCTGATTGGTCGAAAATGTAAATCTACTGCACAGATTCTGCCAATTACGTTCTACCACAAGATGGAGGCGTTCTAATATGGGATATTTTGGCTTCATTTCTGGATAGTGGGAGGAAATGGAGTTGTGTCTATCTCTATATCGTGTTTATGGTTTATCTGGTTTTAACCTGAGTCATGCTCCACTTTTCCACTAGATTTCATGGTTCAGTAGTTAGTTAGTAACCGTGCTGACAGTCAGAGACAAAAAACAACCACTCCCTTGTCTGACAAAACTATTAAGAAACTTTATATTCACCACTCATGTCTCACCAGTATAGTGTTACATGCCTTCTTACGTAAAACTTACATAGAACACAGTAAACTGAGGACACAGTTGATGCCGTGCTTTTTGCCAGTGTGGGTCATTTTAGTTAATGTTGCCCAAGAGGCCTGTCAAAGATTTACTGCAATGTTTTATGTTTCTAAGAAAATACAGCAGCTTATTATGTGATGCAAAAGAGCCCCAGCCTAATAGTAAAGTCATGCTTGTGTTGTGTTTCACTCACTTAGGGTCTGTACAAAAACTTTTTACAAGTGGGTCATTCTGTTCAAAGCCTCATGTCAAAACAAACCAGGACTCATGAGCAAAAGTTTCATCTTTTCACATGCATGAAAAGATTTTAACGCACAATGTATTCCTCAGGCAAACCAACAAAACCAGACATGCTTGTTATAAAGAACAGTAAAATGTGGGTTAAAGGTCCCACCTCCACCTGTCCCTGCTTTAGGGTGTCATTACAGGATTTGTCTGCTTCACTCACTGATCCTTCCTGTTTTCCCTCTCTCCAATGCCGCAGGCCTGCCCTCTCACCCCCAGCACGAGGTTATGAAGAGACAATGCACCGGGTGTCCAGGCATGATCACCTTCTACATCAAGGGGAAACTCGAGCATGCCAGTGCCTTCCTCAGTAACCTCAAAGTAATTTGGCAAGAAATATTCTTTTTATCCAGGCTGTTTACTTTTGTGTTTATCAAGTGGGTGATGTCGTGCAACTGGAGGCGGATTAAGCAAAATGACAGTTGTAGATTATTGGTCTGACGGGAAATGAAGGGAAGAACACATCAGTGTCATAACTAGAGAACAACTGAAGGTATTTCCTGGTGGCGGTTTTATCTTTTCAGTAAAACAGCAAAGGTTCCGATGTAAAACTCTAATTTCAATATTTTATTGAAGAAAAGACGCTGAGGGTTCAGTGACTGGGGTAAAATTAAACTACTTTCATTAAGATCCATGTATTATTCACGGAGAAATCAAGAAAAGAAAAAAAAAAAGATTTGCCCTCTGATCCAGATCTGACACGGCTCTTACCTGACACCACATTGTTCCACCAAGTTTCGTGGTAATCCATCCAGTTGTTTTTGCGTAATCTTTCTTACAAACAAAAGGACAGGGGTAAAAACATAACCTCCTTGGATGTTATAAAAAGTTATTCAACTTTTTTACCGTCTCTTCTACAGATATTTACTCTATTTCTTTGTTAGTTTTGGACGTTTTTCATCTTAGTGAATCATGCCTCAGTATTATGAAATAGTTCATTTTGTCACACAGCACCTGGTTGTATTTTAAAGAAAATGACAAGCCTCCAGATCTTTGCTGTTGGTGTGTTTAAAACTGATCCATATCACAAACTCACAGAAAGAATGGAAACTTTGGTTAATCATCTTCTATTTGTGGCTTTTACTTTTTCTCATCGTGTGCATGTCTATATTCTCTATTTTTCTTGTTTCAGATATTTGCGATAGCTGAGAGTCTTGGTGGTTACGAGAGTTTAGCTGAACATCCGTAAGTAACCCAAACGAAATTATTTTAGTACTTTGTTAGTTATTTTCTGCACCCAAAGGCTGATTGTAACAAATAGCACCACATGGGGGCAGCAGAGATCAAGAAGAAATCCTTATCTGACTCATGTCTGACTTAAATGAGACACTTTATTTTCATTAAGAAGTCTCAGCTCTAATCTCTGTTGAAGCATCAGGATGTTTTTCTTTCTGTATCAGGCTCATATGTTGTGTCTCTATCCTCTTTATCATAATTCAGAGCGATTATGACCCATGCATCAGTGCCGGAGAAAGAGAGGAGCGTGCTGGGGATCAGCGACACACTGATCCGACTCTCTGTGGGCCTGGAGGATGAGGCCGACATCATTGAAGACCTGGAGCAGGCGCTGGGTGCTGCTGTGAGTATCAAACACGATGACACATTAATGAGTGATGACACAAAATGTCCCATCCTGTCCTTTAAGACGGAAACAGCTGGCTTGAGAAAGTTGGGTTCATCTACTTTGTGCAAAATAAATTGGTCAGAAAGATGTTTAGAATTTTCCAACATGCAGAACAACCAGGATGACTCAGAGGTGTCTTATGCTGTTTTCTAGCAGTTAACATGAGATCTGATCAGAGCCCTGGATTTTCCAGCAGCAGGGACAAAAAAATACTACTACATAAAATAAACTACTATGTTATTGTCCCACAGTGCAGAGAGAATCAAATCCCCTCAAGTCATAAAGCACAGCAATACTCATTATCCTGTGAGACTAAATAACATCATATCACTCCATACGCACAGACGTTTAACTAAGCTTCACTTTTGTATAATGATCATTGCATTCAGTCACTTTATTTCACACAGTGCAGTGTTTTCATTGTGACCTCACGAGGACACAGGCAGGATTTGTATGTTAAATTAGCTGTAATTTAATCTGCCCAACAGAGCAGCTGACAAGAATTTAACGCTATTTAATGCAGCACATTGTCTCCACTGCACCACATCTTCATGGTTTGAGTATAATGAAGAGGATCCAGATGTTGAATGTGTGACTCACTAATGATTAATCAGAGGGTAAATGGACCCATGGCTCTGTGTGCTTTACAGTTGCGAGGCTACATCTAATCTCAGCGCTGCATGGGCCATCACGTGGATTCATGTGGGTCGATACCTGCACTTGCAGACAGGATTTTAAGAAAATGAAGATGCATTACAGTTCCCGGGAAAACATTTCTAGTAAATCTTCGGAGAATCTAAGAAGCCCTTCCCGTACGGAGATATGGCTGTACATTGTTTACTTTCAGAACATACATGCATGCAGAAAGCAAACCATATGTTTGACCTGCATAGTGTTAATTAAGGCACAGTAGTCAAAAATGAAGACAAACCACTCCTGGAGATGTGGTCATTATCTTGGGAACATTCAGGGAGAGCCAGGGCAGGAAGGGTTGCAGACCAGGATTGAGTTAAGAGTGCAGCGGTTTCATTTTGTGCACTTTGTGTCAGGCTCTGTCGTATCCACCCATCCCATGAACCCTCTCTCTTTCTGCTGCACAGCCAAGGATCTGTTCCTAAAGCACAGCTGCTAACTACATTAGCAACTTAAATATATTACATCTTCTCATTTGGCTTTTATCCAAAGTGACCTATAACTGAGGGGCAGTACTAAAGCTTCAAGAATCAAGGATAAAGCTGATAGTGAGCATTTGGACGCTGCATGCATCAATTGCCACATTGTTAGCAAGTAGGACAAAGGGATTCAAACCTATTAACCTTGTGCCCACAGAGAAGGTGGTTTACTGACTGCACCACAGGGAAGACATGTTCAGAAGCAATTGTCTCTAAAGCTGTGTAGAGGTTAAAGTTAGAAATAACCTGGCAACTGCCGCCTTGTGCCTGCAGCAGCACAGAATGCAGTGGGGGTGGCACAGTGATTCAATGGTTAGCACTGTCGCCTCACTGCAAGAAAAGGTTGAATCCCTGCTTTGGTGGGTCTCTCTTTGTGGAGTTTGCATGTTCTCCTGTGTTAGTGTGGATTTTCTCCAGGTACTCCTGCTTCCTCCCATAGTCCAAAGACGCGCAGATTGGGGTTAAGTTAATTGAAGACTCTAAATTGACCATAGATGGTGGACGTGAGAGTGCATGGTTGTTGCAATATGTCAACTGAGCACCTGTGTGCTGGTTCTGAAAGAATCACCACAAATGCGCATCTATCGACTTCATGGCCATCGGTAGAGAATTCGAATTCCTCTCAGACCCTCTCTACCACCTCATGCAGCCGTATCCTGTGTTGTGGCCTGCACCTTCTCTCCGCAGGATTCAGATGTCATTTCTGAATCCCTCTGCTGCTACTCTGTAGCGAATGGAAATTAAATGGAGACAAATATCTCTAATGACCGTCTTTGTCTGACCTGGGAAAAGCCACTTGTGATGGGTTGCGCATTTAATTGGATGGGACGTCAGGTCGACAGAGGCAGGGGGTTAAAGTTCCAGTCAAGCGTCGGTTTTGAGTCACAAACTTGGCTGTTGGTTAATCATCTGAAACCTCTCTGGGTGAATATATATATATATGTATTCTGTCTGGAAAATGTTTGGTCTGTGGTGTCCGGTTTTCTCTTTGTCAATCTACTCTGGACTCTCAGTCATGGCAGACGTTTTGGAGGAGAAAGGAGGAATGTGGATTGTGCCTCTTTTTCTGTGCTCCATGAAAACATGTCATTCCAGGAAATATCCTAGCTCTAGTGTTGATTTGACTTTTTCCCTTTTCTTAGCATCCAATGAAGAATTGAAATGTCTTCAAACGTCCCCACTGAGGTGGAATAGGTCGCAGTGAGGGGGAAGACTGGAGGTACCTGACGTCTTAAAAAATCACAGATCAACTCATGGTGCCTCATGATCTGCGCACAAGCAGCATGTATCAGGGAAAAACATGGTCTCTAAAATAATACAAATCCTATTATCTATCGCAAACTAACACAATGTTATTAATGATTATTTTAACACAGTGGAAATCTTATTTATCTCATGCTTGTTTTTATGTTTCTGTGTTTTTGTTTTCATTTGGAATGCTTTTAAAGTCCTGTTCATTCAGACTGACACAGTATTCAAATTTCTGAGTCAAAGACAAATAAAGCTTCCGAAAAGTTATTTTTAAAAACTTGTCTCATAATGGCTGTCGTTCATGTTTTCAAAGAATTTCAACAGTGTGTTTAAAGTGTCATTAGTTGAATTACATTTCAAAGTGTTGGAATTAATTTCCTCTCTGTATTTTTTTAACCTCCTTTCATTTATAAGTGTTCATCAGTGGAGACTCCCCGTCATGAGGCACAGGTCTGAGGAGATCTCAGACAGAGTCAGATGTTTGACACCTCTGTATCGATTTACAGAGAAGCTTCTACATGATCCTGCAGCTCTTCTCTGTCTGCTTCCTGGCTGGACTCCGACTTAGGACATTTCAAACAGCAAAAGCCCCATCTGCCTCTGGGAGGATGAGAGGTGCTTGGCTTGTGTTCTTAGCATTGAAATGATTATTTCCTGATGCAAATGCTGATAGAAAAACCAGAAGCACAAATGTGCATAAACATGTGGTACTGGTTCCAGGTAACACTTGTCGTGTTTTGAAAAATGCAGAGCAAGAAAAGTGTAACAAAAAGTGTCTTTTAATCAAGACTTGGTTGACAAAAAAATCCACAAAACAAAAGCACTGGGAAACTAGAAAAAAGGCAAAGAACACACAAGTGGAGGATAGAGGTGTGTGTGACATGAGACGACGATGAACTGACAAAGGGCACAGAGACTTATAGACACAGGGAGGCAGGAGTAATTGGATACAGGTGAAACACATGAGGTGCAGGTGCAGACGATCACAAGGGCGGGAAACAGCACAAAGACAGGAAGTCAAGGTGGAAGTACATGCTACAAACTACAAAATAAAACAGGAAGCACAAAACTCAGGGAGAAACATAAATCCAAACACAAGGAAAACACAGTTACAGGCACAAAACAAATAAAGAATCTCTAATCAAAACCCAAATACTCCTTAGTCCAGAGTCATGACAACCCTACCATAGCAGGACTGGCCATCAGAATGAAGCCTGGTGCACAGGTGGGCCATCACAACATCAGTAATTCTGAGTTTCTGTTGCCCCAGTGTTCCCACCTTAATGTCACAGGTGGTCTCTCATCCTCAGTGCCAATCAATCCCCTTTAGAACTCCACACGGTGTGGTGGCGACCGGAGGTCAGACTTCTACTTATCCTTCCCCTGGTAATCCTTAAATTACCTCTATCTATTACCATGCACCAGATTTACAGTCTCTCGTTCCCTCTGCCCCCTCTCCCCTTTTCTTCTCTCCTTTTTCCTGTGCACATGCATCAACACCTCCTGTCACAGGAATGGTGTTATTGTTAATTCTTATTTCCCAGCAGGGCTGTGTGTTTTGAATCCGCTCACACGGGACAGCTTGCAGACTGTGAGGAGATATTCAGTGAATGTATTGGATTAGATCTGTGAAAACTGTTCTTCAGGCTGCTTTGTAGTTTGGATGCACAGTCCAGTCTCCAAATTCACTATTAGTCCTCATGTTTTAGATTAATCAGGGTATTTGACAATAAATGAGGGTCATGCATTATTCAGAGCAGACTTTACAAGCAAAGATGTTCAAGGTTTACTTATTGAAGCTGAAGGCTGTTACAGGAGGGCTTTATCAGGAAAACGATCTTGGATGAAAAGCTTTATTTGAATTTGACGTATTTGGGCCAATCACAAAAGCTAAATTCCTTCCGGTTTTTTTCAGTCATATAAAAAAAATGTGTTTAATTCAGGGATTCGTCCACATTGCATCACCACTCATGTAAAAATCTAATTTAGATCAGACCGCTCATAGACAATGTCGTTTAAATAACCGACTGATCCATGAAAATGAGTTTGCAGTACAAGTCTCTGCGTGTCTCACTTCCTCTCAACCATCCTGCTGTACTAACACAAGGGAGTTCAGTGTCACTAACCATTACGAGTTGACACGACACATTCAATTTAGTGGTGGGCTGCACACTGGTGTTTTAGATGGTGGATCAAATAAGGGAGCTGCCGCCCTAATGACCAGCCCATCAATAACTTTCCCATTAGGAGACTGAAGGTTCTGGTTCTCTGTAGAAGACTTATCACCTTTTTAAAGGTTCTGGTTCACTGGAACATTAATTTCTTGTTACCTGCGAGCGTGTAATTGATTTTTAACATCTCTGTGGAGCTTCTGCATCAGGCATTCAAGTTGACTATAGCTCTCAAGTCTAAGCAGATTCAGTTTGCTTAAGTTTAACTCAGCAACCTCCACTGCCTCATGGGACTTGTAGGCAATCTGAGATGCTGGGTGGAAAAAGGACTGAAGAGATGCGGGTACACACCACGGACAGTTAACCTAACCTGCATGTCTGTGGACGGTGGGAGGAAGGAGGAACATACAATGATTAAGCCATGAGTTTGTTCTTTACTAGATACAGAAGTCCAACTCAAGCCAGTCACACTCAGCATCTAATCAAAATCAACAATTAATAATCAGTAATAATATATAGGGATCTTATTATGTTATTAATATACTTTGTTTTCTATTAATCCACATTAGTCCTTAAGCCATCACACTGCCCATCCTCTTTGTTACAATGACAGCGCACAAAAAGATACTGTGTCCATCGTCTTCTCAGTAATAACTGATACAAAGGCCTCCTCCCACAGGAGATGGTGACACAACTTTCTAATAAGAATATCATTTAAACAAGTGCCCACTAAATGGAGCTGATGTTCTCTTATGGATAAGTACCATTCAGGTACAATTTTAACAAATCAAATCAAATCTGGAGAGTGCAACATGACCTAATTTAATAATTTAAATCAGAAAGTAAAAAACATTCACAATCAATAAGAACCTTGTACAACTCTCCAGCAATAACTCCTCCTCTTATAATGTTCGGTTTTGTTCTTGACCACACAGGTGTTAAATATTCTGTAATTTCCATACACTGTAGTGGTAGTGTTATTGTATAAAACAGTATGTAGGCTACTAAGTATCAGTGTTAACTACTAGTAATATCTAGAAGCTCTTTGCACACAAAGGAAGTTAAGAACTAGACAGTAACTACTGGCCAACAGACTATTTGATTCTAAAGTATGTTAAACACGATGTGCTGTGCATTGTAATAACCAGTAGATGTCACAAATAGACAACATTCATCTGTCACAGGCTCAGTCACATAAAGCATGAGGCAACGTAGCAGACATTTATTTTATTTATTTGCAAGCTGTTTGTTGCCTCTTTGTGTTGAGGTGCTAATAGATGTTACACCACTGTGTTTTAATATAGCTTGAAAAGTAAAGTAATGATATTAAAAAGTTAACATGAGGTTGCATCAGTTCCTGTGAAGTTTCTCTCTTCCCCAGTACAGAACTGAATTTTTCACTGAGTGGATTCATGCATGATCTAAATCTCAAACTTGTTTGTTCTTTTCTCTTCACACAATTTCCTACAGCCATAGCATTTCAGTACATATAGTCTTAATTGGATACTTTATTCTGTTGTAACAGTTATTTTCTAAGCAGCTGGATGACAGCAGCCTTTTTTGACTGTCCCATTGTTTAACTTGGGCCATGTTTTCCTGCATCTCTTTAGTGTGTTTTACTGATTGTGTTTGATTTGTTGCATCTTGTATTTTCCAGAAAATTGTCCATGTGTCTGAAAATGTAAAACAAACTATTGAGAACTCATTTGCAGCGCTGCCATCCCTGTGGTCACAGCCTCACTCACACTTTCTCTGTGGCCTCCATCTTGTCCTGTTTAAATTTGACCTTGTTTTCTTTTCAGCATCGTTTACTAAAGTGTGTCCCCCTTTCTAAATTCTGTCTCTGTTCATTATTATGTTGATGTATTTAAATTTGAATGAATAGAGATAATGAATTAGGAGAAATTCGACTCTGATACTGGTGCTCGGTTGCTAAGCTGCTGCACCGTAGTCTGTGTGAGGTTTGACTTTCCAAATGAGCATCATCATTCAGCTCCGGTTTTTACTGTTTGTCAGTCCCTGATAACATCTGAAAGGATGCATGAGCAGTCATGTCATGATGGCTACGAGGGGGATTTGTATTGTTTATCTTACAGATGACTATAAAATGACATTCCATGATAAATAATGATTTGCTATCAGCAGTTAAAACAACAGAATCTGCAGCTAAAGTCTTCAGAGTAAACACAAAGCGGCTCCTGTAACTCCCAGTGTGGGTTTTTAGTCCATTGCATCATAGTGAGTAAAAATCCCTGGCTGGAGGCTGCCTGCACTCCATCACATCTCAAAGATTACATTCATGAACACATATTAGTAGATAAGAGGTGTGGATATCAGAGAGCAAAATGTTGTGTCAGGGACTGTGACCGCAAACATGGCAGCAAGACGCAGAAGTTTAAAATGTTTACTTGGGTTTCCCAGAAAGTGACATGTGTGGATAAAGTGTTAGTTACTGCTGCTTAGTTAATATTATAGTTTCAAGTTATTTCTACATTTCAAACCAGTGATCGGTATATGTTAATGTAATTAGGAGAATTAAACGATTGCTACGTGGTAAAATAAGTCACAGGTTTTATACAAACAAAAAGCCTGTTGATGTTGAGTCATGAGTTGTAGAGGCACAGTCTAGCTTTATAGACGTAGTCAGGCAAACTGTTGTTCACATTTCAAGTAGCTGATCTTCTCATTGACATCACAATAAAAACACAGCATATTACCCCAAATATGAAACTATTCCTTAAGGTCAACGTACAGCATCGATATGATGCTCATCTATCACAGCCTCACTTTTTAATCTAGTTATTTCAAAATGGGTGCATTTTAATTAACATTCCTTATATTTATTTAGACCAAATAGGGTTCAATTAATATTCCTGCATCTGTACCATAATCATTTTAAATGTAATTGTACTTCACAACCCAGGCAGCACTGATTGATCAGTTACCAGAAATAGAAATGTAAAGCAGGTTGTAATTACTCATTTAAACACTGACGAGCTGTCAGAACATTTTATCCAATCAACACTTCCATGTAAAGTGAACTGATGAGGATCATCAGCAGAACAGCTACTACACAGGCTTCATGGTGAGATTCTTTTCTTTCATTTAGCACTGTTACATCTTTGATGTTTATTTGCTCTTGAGAGACCAAATGTTCCTCTTTGCTGTTGTAACACAGTAAATTACCCCATGGTGGGACTAATAATGGACTATCTGATCTTATCTTAAATTATTCCTCTTTTGGTGGATCTAACAGGCAGCCAACTCTGCTGGTGATCTGGTCCTGCAAAAATATTTCTTGCACCATATGCTTAACCTGAACAGTAAAGCTCTGTAAGCTAAGATTTCTGGGAGCTGGTGGTTTGATGACATTAATCTGTATGTGACTGAACAGACTGTTTTACCTGATGAGGAACTAAATGATCCCTGAACCCATTGACTCTCTCCCATATTAACCAGTTTGTTTGCAGAGAGGGGAGACCTGAGACAGCCCTGAGACAGACCTGAGACATGGACCTGAGACAGGAACATGGTATGTACTGTGTTTTATTGTCCATGTAAATTACTGCTGGTAAACCAGAGGGTAAATAAACCTGTTTCGTGTATAATTAAATCTCCATCTGTGTCCAGTGTTTCGTAAAGTGACCTCATTCTGCAGCTATTTCTGACTCTGGAGCTGCAGGATCCAGATCTACCACTCCACTATTATTATTATTATCATCATTGTTATTTGAAGCTAACAACCAAAGTACATCACAACATAGCACACAGCCATACAAACCACACACCCACTACTACCACCACTATTACTACTGCTGCTGCTACTACTACTAATAGTAATCTTATTTTGAAGACTTGGTATAATTCCTCAAACAGAGAGAAGATGATCTGAGAGGCCTGATCGAGTTATAATCAGTGAGCAATTTAAAAATGTACTCAGGAGCAAAACCATTAAGTGCTTATGGACTATTAGAAGGATTTTAGTCTGGCTGTTGCATTTTGAATGAGTTGGAGATGTCCGGCTTGATTGCTTGAAACCCTGCACACAGAGTGTTGACCTATATATATGCGATGTCTTTATCAAATTTAAAATTGACATCCACAATCATTCCACAGCAATGTCAAGTGTAAATACATTTCTGTCTCTCATTTTTAGAACCACATATGAAACCACAGTCTTTGTCTCAATTGAACTGTCAAACATGTGCAGATATCCAGTAATTCATTATATAATCACCCAAAAATGAGAATCCTGTGAAAATGAATTATGATTTTAGATAAAAGTTCTTTGAACTCCTCTGTCTGGGTTTCGAAGGACAATCAACAATAAGAAGTACAACAGGAGTCTGGATTGAATAACTCTAACCCTACAGACCTAAATAGTCAAGACTNAAAGAGCATGAAGAACCTGCATGATTTGGATGGAAGCATTCTTGAAGGAAGCTGGATGTTTCTGGTTCTGCAGTGGCCTTTAAGGCAAAAGGCTTCAGTCAGCTCAGTAATACATAGAAACATTGCAGGGTTTGGAATTTAAAACTGTTTGTCATTGTTCAAAACATTGTCCACAAGGGTGAGAAAAATTCTCTTTAAGTTTCCCTAACTTATGTTATGTGAGGCCTCAGCAGAGTAAATGTCCTTCATGAGGGCAGATGAATGGCAGGTTGTGAGACACCTGCTGATCTGATCATGACAGACCATGGATCAACCAATCTCAGATCCCACAGGCTCTCCTCTGACCATGAATTCGCCTCTGGGGGCAACAGCCAATATTTTGTTCTTTGTGTAGACAGTGGACATCAAGACTCCCTCTGTTCACTGTACACAGTTTACACTACGACTAGTTTCTGTTATCACACAAGTCTATTAACAGCTATCTGCATATAAATGCTGATGCATATGAGTCAATGTGTTCCACCTCTTTTGCTGACTGTTTACCTGCAGGCCACTAAAGTCTGCTCCAACCTGCCTCCTAGAAACAGAAACCAGTAGAATTCCAGCCCCAATATCTTGACCCCTGCAGAATCTGTTTATAGAGATAATGGATGAACCAACAAGTACGGGGGAAGGTTGGTATGATTGTCCTAAGTGACTGCTTATACTTATACTGTGCAAATTACTTGATATCTAAAATGAAAGCCTTGGCTTGGGCTCAATAACAGCTTTGTCTAGTCAGCACTGTGTTGGACAGCTCTGTCCAGAGTGAGCCAACGAGACAGAAGTGTAAACGGTGCAAGAGTCTATAATGTGAAGCAACCAGCACCCCCCTCCCAGAGAACAGCTGCAACATCTCTGGCAGCAACGGCCCAAAAACCCCACATAAGGCGTTATTTTGATGTTATTATGAGATCTGTTAAAGATTTTTTGGCTCATTATGAAACTGTGGCAGGACAAATTGAACTGTAACGGGCTGTCACAGTCTAATCTGAGGAACAAGAAACACTGATCGCCATTCTTCTCCTAACAGCTCTGTGCTGAAAGGGAAAGAACATAATTAGTCCTGTATTGATTCTGTGTAATGTCAATTTTGCTGCTATTCAAGGAAACCCAGAAAACAGTTGTTTTTTAAACTGATCTATACAAAGAACTGAACTGCAACCAAGGTCAGAGATGAGAAAAAAGGCATGGTGCAAATTTTAGCTCATTTTCTATGATGTGAATCATAATGGGCGACTTATGTCCATTGAAAGACTGGCGCCATTAAATATAATGATGTTCAGGCCAGAAGAGAAAAACCATCAAAGAACCAGCAGAACAGAACGCATCATGAAATGTTCTCATCAAAAGGCTGAAATGAAGGTTTTAGAAATAAATGTTTTTACCAAATCAAAGCACATACTGACTTTAAATGCCAGTTTTTTTTGTAATTTTATCTTAAAAATCAAATTCAACTGAGGCGATCACTGAAAGATTTACTTCAGTGTAAGGACTGGCATTGTCTGTTGTGCACCTCCCTGGAAATACACGTTGAGGTGACGCAGACTCTAACAACACTGTTCGGTTCACTTGGTAACATGTAGCTGGACAAGCTAACAAAACTCCTCCAGCCTCAATGAGTTGAACAGTCTACCGCAGCCTTATTAAATGTTTCAAAAGTGTCATGAGTGACATTAACGGGAGACAGATCTACATCCAATAAAACTATGCTTCCAGCATGTGCGCATCATTTGACTCCTGTCTGTGTCGAGTTCATATATTTTTGGCATGAATGAAGTTGGTCACGCTGCAGCAGACAACTCCCGGGAAGTTCCCCAGTTCCATTTCAAAAATGCCATTTTTCTTTTTCTCTTTTTTTAACTTTTGCATTTCAAAGAATCAAAGTCACTGGTCAAGTTTGTTGATACTCAAAAGGAATTTGCATCTGGTTCTTGACGTGTTTACACAGAACTCATTTTCAGAGGGTTTAAAAAATAATGACAACCTTATCTGATTTGAGCAAACCTAAACCTATAACAAGTCTGTTACTTACGGGCAAGAGCTGGACAACTCACGACTCTGCTTTGATTTACATGGAATAATGAGAGGATATTATATGGATGCTACTAGGGTTGATCACTTTAACCCAATTTTACCATCAGTCAGCTCTTCTGAAGAAGCACCCCGGCAGCTTTATACTATAATTTACATTATAAACAACAGTATCGTGTTAGGTGAGTGACCAAACACAAAAGCAAAATAATCAAATTCCAAGTACCTCGAGTGGACGCCTGCATTTTAAAACCCTCAGTGTATGTTGTGAATAAAACATAAGCAGGTTGTGCGGAAAACAGCCTCAAGGCATCACACTGTTCCGGAAAGACTGTTTGAATTGTGCAGTCGAAATATGTAGATGTTGCAAATTTACACTTAAAAGGCGAAATGAGACCATACAAAACTGAATTTAGAAAATCTAATCTTAGAGGAGAGAGGAATTTTAATGTGAGAGTCAATGCATACTACATGCTTATGTTTCCATACTAATTTGTAGCCTGCAGGGTGTTTTCATCCGTGTTTGTGTGTGTGTGTGTGTTGAATGTTTGTGTAACTCAACAATTGAGCTGCTTTGTTAAAGGTCCAGGTCAAATGTGGTCCGAGAAACAAAATATCTCAGCAAATATATGACTATTAGGAGACAATTTGAAGCTTAAATTTATCAGAACATTTTTCCACATCATATAATATTATATGATAAGTGACGTCATGCATAGTTACTTCCACCAAGGAAGTTTTCGCCCCTGTCCATTTGTTTGGTGATTGTTTTTTTTGTTAGTTACCAAGATTGTATGAAAACTACTCGACAAATGACCACAGACCTTGGTCGAAGGATGCATTATGGGTGAGTGAAGAACCCATTACATTTTGGTGCAGGTCTGGAATTTGTTTCACTTTCCTTAACCTCCCCAGATGAGCCGTTTTTTAATTATTTGTTATTTAACATTTTAGCAGATTTCTCAGAGAGCACTTCGTGGATATTAATAAAAGACATCTGGTATATTCAGGAGACTGGTATATTCAGGACTGTAGAGTTGAGTTTAGCTTGGTTGAATTTGAGATGACTTGGTGGAGGTATGCACGCTACATTGTAGTTTAAAAATGTATTTTCTCATGCATCTCTGCGTCCTTTAGGACCAGTGATATGACCTAAGGTTTGTATAGATTGAAAAATAATCATGATGTTGCTATGAAGACAGATAATGACTATTTATATAATGTACCGATGCATTCACTTGCAACCAATTGAGAGACACTATCTACATTTCTGATTGGGGTATATACAGCATGCATAGGGAAGGCATTGTCCATCTGATGTTTTTCATTGGTGTTGTCATACTGTATATTTTGACACTTATGTATATTTTGGCACAAAGCTGCGCTGTAGGCGTATCTGATGTGGACGCCTTTACAACTCTTATCATGTCAAGATAATGTCACCACGTTTTTTACCCGGGGCTGAAATCAGTATCGGCACAGTGTGACACACTGTCTGCTGTGTACATACATGGTGATAGATGAAGCAGAAAATTGCCTCTCGTTTCTCATTATTCCACTGCATCTGCTGCTCCCTGTACATGTTTCTAAAGACTCATCAAGGCTGTTGTATGTGTGTGCTGCTTCCCCAGGAGAAAACAAGGTCAACAGTAGTCCATCAGAGTAGAAAGTGGAACAAAGTAACTCCTAAAGAAGGAAATAACTTGTCAGTGTTAACATGGAGGAGATGGATGTGGCGGCACATCAAGCAGGAATGAATGTTTTCCCTGCTCCTGACCTTGTCTCTGCGAGGTATCGTATCAATTATTCACTCTCTGAGGTGTCTTGTGTTGTGGGGAGAACAGATAAAACATCTTCTTTTCTCTCTCTGTCTGGATCATCCTCCATCTGATGATTCATCTGTTTCCCGGAGTCCATGTCTCTGCTGATAGAAATTCATAATCCTGTAATTAAAAAACATCCTGCTCCGGTCGCACAGTGCACCTCCTTCCCCCCGTCATTACAGATAAGCCTGACCCTCGGCCACTCAAACTGTTGTGACTCACAGCCAGTGAAGCTGCATAATACCAAATACAGAGACCACTAACACAAACATTATGATTAATAATGATGACGGGTGAAAGTGTCTTTGAAGAGGGACTGTTTATACATGTGGACGACTGTTAAAATTTGAAGATAATTCTTGGAAACCAATGACTATTTAGCTCAAGAAAAATGTATTAAGTCTTGTTATTCATAACAAAAGACATCTGATATGAACTAAGTCACGGAATTGTAGATATTCGGGTTAGTAATGTGTCACAAAGTTATAGTTATTTATATGAAACAGAGCACAGCAAATATAATCAATTAAATATGACGGGCGTACTTATTGTAGGATCCATACTTAGAAAACCTCTGTATCTATGGTCCGCGCATTTTGAACAAGATGACTTGTTCAAATAAAGAAGGTGAATTAAAAAAATGTTCTCTTGTTTTTCTCGATGTTTGGCTTTAATTCGTTTATTTGAGTTTAGATCATAGACTGTATATAAAGAGGTTTAGATGCTTTAAAAATGGGGTCAAACGTAATGATTGACAACTGAGACTGACTTGTGATTCGTTGAGCCTGTTTATCAGCAGGACCTCGCTAATGCAGCTCCACACCACAACCACTTCTGTGAAGACTCTGGCAGAATCCATATCCCAGATATTTTGTCTTCACTTTTGCACAGTGGGAGGATATGTCCATTTTTATTTACAGTCTATGATTTGCGCACAGATGCTGTGAATCTGATTACATTATGCTGAGTTGTGACTGTTGTTGTTACGTCTGTTTTTCGTCTAAATTTAAATGTCGGCTTAGAAAGTCAGTTCGACCAGGACATGCGTCATTAGGAGCATCCTTGACGTCAGGTCAAACATTCTCTGCCTCTGATGTGTCAAGTTTTTTGTCTTTGTTTGACATCACTGCCAAATCTCTTTGTTTGTGTTTTGAACTGTTTCTATGACAAAAGTAATATTTTAGGAGGTTAAGATTTCAAACATCGAATATTTACTGGTTTTCTGAAGTTAGAAACAACATACCCCTCACCTCACCCTCTCCTTCCAAACATGAAAAAGAACCTGTGGCAGCCTTTAACTGTCATAAAAACTCAAAAGGTGTTTAGTTTGTTCAGTCTGGACTAATGCAAAAAACATGGCGGCTTCTGTAGAGAGGGTCCCCTCAGTATTTTTATGTAAAGGACCTTTTCTGGGCTAAAGAAAACACAACAATTCATATAATTTAGATGAAACGAACTAGTGAAAACATCATGAGGATTATTCTACATTAAATTTCTGCCAATAGTTCTCTTTCACCTAAATCTTAAACAATGGACCTTTAACTTTTTATGAAATTAGAATTATACTCAGCTCTTTCTTGCTTTGCAAAGCTTAAAGGCAAAGACAGAGAGAGAGCTTGATATTGGACAAGATGGCCTTGTGTACTGTACCATCAAAGAAGTGCTTGTTCTGTTTTTAAAAAAAAAATCTGATGCACACAATTACTGTAGAGACACATCCACTCTTTTGGTGATGGTGTTATATAAAGAGAAAAAGGATCCGGATGTTGAGCTGCAATGCACAACATCTCTGCCAAGGCCATGCGAACCCAATCATGTGAGTCCATGTGACTCTCTTAAAACAATTTTTAAAAATATGTGATTTGTACCATTTCTGAGCTGTAACAAAGACCCAGAGGTCTGGATTTTTTTGAGGGACGGATGCATGTGGGACAAAAATATTCTCTGCACCAGAAGCACATTGATGGACGTCCTCCAAAGAGACCCAGTTGCAGCAGCTGGATCTGCATGAAAAGCTAGCAGGGGATGTTATCTGTGTGTTGTTCTACTTGGTGCTAGCTGACATTTTACAGGTTTACAGGATGAGTGTTAAGACGACTGGAGAAAATAAAAGAGTTAACTCAGGCCTGGATGAGTCATAGTGTGCACAACATGAAACCACAAATGATACCTAACAGGGTACAAGTGTCTTGGGTGTTTATCCTTTAATAATCCAGCCACACTGGTGAACTGAGAGAAAAAAGGAACTGTGCCATTGACTGAACAGAACAGAATTGTGATTGAAAGGTTTTATTTGTCACATGCTCACACAATCTGAGCAGTGAAATGCAGGGGATCCTTTTCCAGTTGTGCTACAATGCCAACGTGCAAAGATGATTTAAGATAAGACGAAGAGGCAACATAGAATAAAAACATAATGGATCTGAATGTAAAGCTAAAATGTGAAAATGTATGTAAAATAAGTATAAAAGCCTTGCTTATATTGGTGTGGTGTGTAGATATTATGTTAAATGTTATAAATATTATCAAGCCTATCCTTTAATATGGTGCTAAAGTCTTGAAGATATAGGAATATATAAAACTATTCTAATAGTTCTACAGTACATAAATCTGGGAAGTCAGTGGAGGCTGAGGGCTGTTCCTTCGAGTATTCAAGGTAATTGAGCAAGTAAATATAAGCACAGTGCTGGTGATTAAATCTACATTGATCAGATATAAATTGAATGCGATTAAAATCAACAAAAACCTATTAAATACCACTAAGTTCTGCACATCCCCCCTTCCTGTTTCCTGGTCAATGCACTTCTGTACTCCTGCTCCCTGATTAGTTCCTGTACCTGCATTTCCCGACCGGTGAATCGTTTTATATCAGCTCATACCATTGTTTTTTGTCAGTCTTGCTGCTTATTCGTGTTCGACCCTTGCTCTTAGTTTTGGACTCTGCTCTTCTCTATGTTCAAGTTCCAATATTTCCATTAAGTTTGTTTTTAATTAGTTATTTAATGCTGTAAAAACAGGATGAAACCTTATGATTGACAGCTGAGTACAGACTTACATTTGGTGGAGTTTGTGCTTTCAATTCCCAGCTAGGGCGAAGACTCTGGCTCCACACAAGATGGCAGCGCTCATACTGGGGACATTTTGGCTTCACTTCTAGATAGTGGGAGGAAGTAGAGACGCGGCATCCATCTGTATATATGATATATGATTACAGCTTAGTGAAGGCATATGAATAGCACAAGTTATAATCATTAACAAATACTGTACATTTATAAAGACTTAAAATGTCTATAACTGTTCAAAATGAATAAACTGTGAAATAGGAGTGGTAGATTAAAGTGGAATTACCCTCACAAAGTTTTAGACAAACAACAAGCACAAGACCTTGCTAAATAATTTGATGTGTATTGAAAAATGATGTGGATGCAATGATGTTCACTATTCTTCACTATTAAAACATCTCAGTCCACAGAGTATCTTAGTCGTGTATGTGTGGGCCTCCCTCAGTCTGCCTCTTAGACTGTATAGGCCCTGACAGTTTACTGAGCCAAATCCTCAGCACACAAGACAGTTTGATCAATCTGTCTCAGATGACTTTGAAAAGTTGTTTCAAAAACTTTCAAGCCGCATGAAATTCTACATTGGTATTCAAGACCAGGTCTAAAAGCATCTTTGTTTTTTGACATTTCAGTGGTTTTACTTTCTCTTAAGACAACAGCCCTTACCTGGCATTAAGGATATTTTTAACATTATATGACGGATTGAAATGTTCCTGAATTATAACCTTGATCATTAAAACTGTACATTTGGGAAGAACAAACTCTTTGGAAAATAAAACCATGAAGGGGAATCACAATCCTTATAGCTCCTGTGCCCTCTGGCTCAGACTTCACCTGTTTGGTCCAACATTTCACTTTTCAATGTAACTGCAGACCATTGGGGCTTCTGTTGTTTTATGCCACTGTGTTGATTACAGCAGTCTGTACAAATGAATGTGAACCCATAAATGTTTCCTGCTGCAGCTCTGGCAATGAAAATAAAAAAGGCTGATATAAAAGTGTCACCAAATGATTGAAAGTATGACACAGCTTTTTCAGTCTTGAACTGATATAATCATAATTTAACATCTTTCATTCTGCACACTTGCAGTAATGAAACTGACCCAAAGCTGATTTAATTGCGGTTTTGCTTTAGCGCTTCACTGGTTCCAAAATGTATCTTCTCTTTTTATTTGATTTTTAAAATCTGTTGCCATTTAAAAAAGGATTTATGTTTACATAGAAAGACACAGTATGGTCCCGATTAGATGAAACATCTGTGCACAGACATGAGCAGTATACTCAATAACATCAGACACAAACATGCTCCCACACTCGCAGGCCTGTCCCTTTTCCATCAGCGAGTGAGTAATGATGCAGATTTATTGTGGCCTCTTTGACGGGTCAGTACAGTAAAAATGTTCACAGACACACATCCATCATTTAAATCCATGCAAATCAAAATGTTGGATGTTTTGTGTGAGAAATTGGTCGGGCACGAAAAAACATCAAAGAAAATCAAATTAAATCACAACTCAAAGTGAATCCATAAAAACTGACTTGACTCATTACAATGTGGAGACACATTGAATTCACATTAGTGCAGAGGATAAGTAGAGCTCAGACATGTGCATATGCATCCCAACAAACACAACAACACATGCGGCAAGCAATGAAACATGTGGACACTGACTGGCTGCATCTGCTGCTCCTAACAAATATACAGCGGACATATTGGAATGTGATAAAAACAAATCCAAAACAACAGTTAAAAAATGTCAACATCACCCCCCCAACAATGATGCTGAAATCAAGACCTAGTACCACACATTTGGTGTGCATAGGAAAACAGTATTTTTGCACAAGGCAAATATTAAACTCAAACTACAAACTGTGCAAAGTGATTTTCTCTGAGTTGGCAGCTGCAATCTGATCTGATCCTGGAACTGGAGCTGCTGGCCCAGTGGTGGGAATCGTGTTAATGTGAATGTGAAAGCAACACAATGTTCTTGGGGGCACTCATCTAAATCCTCTTTTCTTTGTCTTTAATTCCTGCCATACTGTCCATACTGAGAATGCCGAGCTGACTGTCTCCTATAACTAGCTGCTAACTCTAGCTTTGGATGTTGGTTAGTGATGTTTCCCTTAAAGTGTGTCGCAAATGTGCACAGTGCAATTTGAGGCATTCTGGGAGAGCTGTGGCAATGAGGGATGGCATTCTCCTGCTTATAAGCTTGTATACCATCAGATTGTATGTTTTATTTTAAGGTTTAAAAAAAGTTTTAAGATTGGGGTAAATGCTACCAAACATACACTGGACGATGCAGTGAGCTAAGACCAAACTTAACTTTCCCTGTGGTTGGTGAAAAATCCAATAGGTGCTGTTTACACCTGCTCTTCAGGGGCATAGATTTTCTCTGCAAAACTAATTAAGTTACAGGGGAATTGACCTATTATTTGTATAATCCAAGATGATGCATAATGCATGAATTCATATCAAATGAGGTGAGGGGCAGATGTTTCACAAACTTGACACACAGACTATGACTGCAACTGTTTGTTTAAAGAATAAATCACATGTGTTTAGTGCAGGAAGCAGGACATCTGAGCCTGTGCTTCAGTAAATCTGTTTCGAGGAAGCAAGACTTGTTAACGTTTGATCATCTTCCCAAAAAGGCCACGAAATGCTTTGGTGATAGAACATCACAGATCGACCAGGTGGAAACCAGGTCCTCTGTGTTCTGTTTACTAATTTCACATTATATTCCCAAGGTTTCTCAGAAATGAAGCTCAACAGTGTTCATTTGATTTGTTTCTTTGTTCCACTCTGTCTCAGTATAAGGAATAGGAAATAGGAAATTAAAAACCTTAATTTATAATTTAAACCATAGACTGTATATAAAGATGGATGACTTGTCTCCACTTCCAAGTTAAAACATTCCTGATAAGGCTGCTTCCATCTTGGGCTTTCGAAGTCATTTGGAGCATTGAGATCCTGCCCTTGTACATGCTCGACCAACCAGCACTCAGTCTCAGC